GTGGCTATATAAATATGATAGATAGATAGATAGATAGATAGATAGATAGATAGATAGATAGATAGATAAGGAGAGGATAGGTAATAAATGTGTCATGTGAATACATAACAAAACACTAAGACAGTATTTTAAACAAATCTGTACTTTTCATGGCTCTGGAGATAAAACTAAAAAAGCTAATGCGATTTGATTTTAAGAATTTCAAATCTTGTTGTATTAAAATCCAACTATGAACTATAAGGGACTAGTACCAAGGTTTCGATTTAAAGATTAGTAGTCATATGACTTTTTGAAAGCACAGTAGCCTAATAATCAGAATAATTCAAACCCTGAAAGCCAGTGCCTTGGCAGTCGATCTGGCAAAATAGAATATCCACCAACTCTGATCCTAACTCTATCCATACCACACATGTATATACCTGGAACTAGGTTACTCACACCATGGTTATATCTTGACATGACCAGTGGTGGCCCTGACACTCTAGAACACTTTGCTCTCAGAGCTGAGCCTGGCCCCCTCATTACTACCCTTCTTCAAGAAAGGGAAAACAATTTGGTTTAGGTGGGATTTTAGTAGTGACACTGAGCTGCCATTTTTATTAAGACTGTATTGCATTTCCTACTGGTAAACCACACAGAATCTTGGGATATAGTGGTATATTAAAGATGTAATTAAAAAATAAATTCAGTGTAAGGCTTCCTTTAAAACTGAAGTTGCAACTCGTAAAAAATGTGGCACTTAAGCTGCTAATTAATAGAAAACCATCCCAAATGTGTTTCATGCTCAAACAATACCCAACCCCAATTCTGAGCCTGAAACTCCTGTTTCAAACTCAGACCACCCCCAGAATGGTCACAGCAGCCCATTCCAAAGTTAAAACAACTGATTCACATTCAAAACATTGTAAACAACTCTGCTTTTAGTCCCAGATGGCTTAGGTCTTAATTAACCCAGCAGACTATTGCTCTCATTATAAGGTAATACTTCCAGAAAAGGCTTGCTGAAAATGCCCCTGCATCTGGCACACAGGAAAGGGCCTTCATCTGTATCATTCCCTGAATATGCCATGTACTACCTTGGGAACTCTATGCAATCTCACCAGAAACTCCTTAAAAGACACACCTTTTTCATCAGGTTTTTAACTGTTAATTACATTTAGTAACAATAAGAACTAGGTTTCATTTTCGGTATTCTGTACTTTATTTTTGTTAGCTTAGCTAGGAAGAAGGATCATTATTTCTCATCTCGATTAGGAATGTTAGAGGAAGAAAAAAATTAACTTGATCTCTGCAGGCAATCCTGCTGCACAAAAGATGACAGATTGCCCATACTTACAAGTCAGTACGGACACTGGCAAATCTTGAATCACATTTTTATGGCATGGAGCCTTTTCTGTCTCAACCAACAAAATCTGGCAGCTCAACTGCCAAATCTCAGCAGTACATTTTCTTACCGTTGTAAGATGAGACATACACTTAAAATGAAACTATCTCTATTGATAAATCATACAGGACTTATTATTAGCCATACATTACCACAACTCTGTTCACCAGCTTCTTTAATGACCATGAAAACCTAACAAATATAAATACATTCCTTTGTGTTTTATTCAGCATATCAAGAAATGAGTCTCTAGTCTGGTCCAAGGACAATAAAGGATAAACTCTAAAATCACTACTGTTTCTTTTTTTGGCTTCTTCCTTTCAGAACAAACCAGATTCTTTTATTCACACGTAATAAAGTGGACTGTCTCTAGATTGTTACTCAACAGAGGTGTAAATGTACGATATGATTTGCCCTTCAAAAAGTATATAAGCCAAAGATGGCCAACCCTCTGGCATTGACTAGGCTGGAGGACTGTTGTTCTACACATGAACATGAAGACATATTCATTCACATACATACACATATGCTATAGGTACAACTCCTCGCTGGGTTCTCTGAAGGGACAGGGGAGCCTCAATCTCCTTTCCTCCCAAACTTTCTGATGAGGCTTCACTGGTAGAGAGAATGATGAGGCTTCCCTTCTCCTCCAGCATCCTGGAAGTGTGAGGAATACTCTTCCTCCAAAGGAAACTGCCCTGTGATCTGCTCTCTGCTCTTCTGGGGTCTGCTTATTTGACTGTGGAAAGATCCCACCCCCACCCCCCACCCCCATGTGACAGTGTTTCCCAGCAGTCCACTGAGAAGTTTCTTGCAGGCTGCTAAAGCACATACTATTGCACTGGGCATGGACAAAAAGGGAAATAAGTGGGGAAAGTCAGAAATGAACCAAAGGGACAGAATCAATGCCAGAGCCATTCTGAGAACTTTAGGAATAAGCTAATAAGCTTGCATTTTGAAGAATCTCATTAGTCTATTTTGAAAACATCTTTAACCACAAAATCCAAACATGCTGATGTAGAAAATGCAGTTATGGAGTGCAAATTCACTTAATATGTAACAGAAATTGCTCTTGAGAATGAACTTGTCAGGCAACAAACATATTTCTGTAGAAATGATTCTCAGCATTTCATCAGAGCACAAGATGTAGCTTTGAGCAATATTCATATTTCCTGATTCTGCAGGCTAATCTTGCCCTAGGGCCAAGTGGCTCCATTTACATGAGAGACACACCTCTCTTTTCTTCTCACCACGCAGTACTCCAGGGAAGACTAAATTGCCTGCACTCCCACACTTCGACCAATTTTTCTGAGATGAAATATGGTCCTATTCTGAAGCACAGATAAAGGAGTTTTCCCATCTTCTCAAGAGTAAACTTCAGTTCTAATTATTTTTATCTGTCAGCTCCCTCACCACTGCCAAAGCAACAAAATTATCCAGCAATTAAACTAAACAGAACTTTTAAGTAAATGATATCTTAAGTCTCTTTAATAATTACAGAAACTCAGCATTATACAGTAACCTCCCGCAAAGAAGCTTTTGGGTAAACCATAAAAATATTATATTATTTGGCAGTTACCTATATTTTTAAAACAAGATTTTTACTACATTACAAAATAGCCATAACAGTCACCCCTATCAGCATTCTTTAATGATTTTTCTGATCGTTTTCTTATCCACACTCACTAATAACAATCCACTTAATTCTGCTTTTATGGATTTCCCTACCACAATCAGGGAATGTTATGTGCTGGAATTTACTTTGACATATTCAATTTTTTGAACTGCCTTTTTTTTTCGTTACATTTGATGTGTCCATAGAATATGCTTAACTGATTATCATACCATGCAAACAGCTAAATCCAATTAATGTATGGATGTATTAGAGGTATTAGAAGAAATTACTTTTAGTCCAAACTAATGGAGCTACATGGTGAGTGAACTTGAAAAAGTGGATTGGAGGGGATAAACCACCCCAAATTCTATTCCAAGTACACTGATACTGACTAGACTTCTCTCTCCCTTTTTTTTAATTTTTTGGTTTCAAAAAGTTAAATGAGAAGCAGAAAATCCCAGCTTTCTAGCCATCCTTGAGACAACTAGGTCTGTCATTGCTAACTGCTCTACATTTGAGCAGGGCATTTCCAATCATTAGGAGCCAATGCCTAGGTGAGTTTTTAAATTTTGTAAGCTCTAGTAGAACTGCAACAAAGTTTAAAATGTAAACTTAATAGGATTACAGCAGCAGTACTACATACACGTTAGATAAAATAATTACAAATATTTTGAATAATATCATTATCTGAGATCACTTGGCTAAACCTGAACACAAACGCAGTGCAACTATGAATTCTCAGAAGATTTGTTCAGAGCAGTGAACTGTTCTTTTCTAAAAAGATAGCAACAATTTGTTTGTGGCTAAACAGATGACTCTTCTCAGACAGAAAGAGTGACACACCTAAGGCTAGAACTAAGAGACAAGAAAGAAAAGATATGTGATTACTGTTACTGGCTGTAAACCAAGGTATACTAATACAGCTGAAACTGTGCGTCATGCTGCAAAAGTTCCTGATTCTCAACACAGAGCTTTATTGCTGAGCTCCCACACTAAATTATTACAACTGGAAAAGCAAAAAAACAACAACAACCCCAAAACAAAAAAACCAAAACTTTTCTCAGTGTAGAGCCACTTTAGCAGAAGAACTTTTTTCATAGGCACAGTTCCAGTTAGCTTCATAAGCACATAATGAAACTTCTTTGGGTAAATTTCAGACAGTCAACAAAACCTTTAGACTTTAGGTTAAAAAATTGATCTGGCAGCTATACCACATGTTTTAATTAAAAAATATTATTGAGATAAGATTATTTGCAATGATGTTCTTGTTACAGACTCAATTAAAACAAAAAGGATTTGTCATAAAAATCATATAAAAGTGTACAAATTATTGTGTGATTACTAAGGGGGTAAAGACACTGCGTTCTCCAGCAAGACTACCATAAGATATTTGATTCCACCTATAGAGTTTTTGTAAAATCTAAAGTTTCTGTGATAACATAAGTTATCAAACTGGCTTAATGCAGCTGATACAATCTGAACTACAGGACTGATTTTCTATAATATGATTTAAATATATTTGACTTCAAAATTTTCTCACTATTTATTTTAAAATTTTATGTTGCTTTGTGCCTCACTGTTGATTTGCCTTCTTTGTGAAATTTAGAGGTAAATTAAAAGACAAATGAACAAAAATGGGCAAATGTTAAAATTTATTTTGAAATTTTCAATGGGAAGAATGGGAAAGACATCTTGTGTGTATTTCTTCTCTTCTTTAAACTTTAGAAATGTTGTCCTTTCTTTTCTTTTTTCCCTTCTCTGTAACTTTCAAACAATCCGCTGTGTTTTTATATCTGCAGTGGTATGGGAGCTTTTCTTCTTGCAGCTCCTTATAGCTACACTTGCAGGGCTAAGCCAATGACCAGGAAATGTTGTTTAGTTACCTGACTGGTGCTGCATGGTCACCCGGTTTATTCCAGAATTGCACCTAAAGCTGTAAGATGGAGGAAGGTTTTGAACCCCTGTGAGCAGGCATGTGGGGCTTTAAAGAGAAGGGAAAGACAGAAAAGGAAATCAAACAGACTAACCCACTCTCTTGGCAGACAGAACAACTTCTCCTGCCTCTCCCAAGAATTTTTAAGGATTTTTTTTTAAACTCTTGGCAAAAAAGGCAGAAAAGAAAAACAATATTGCCTATTTTATAGGAAATAATAAATTCCTGAGTACAGGAGGCAGGATTTGTCCAAAATCAATGTATAAACTGCCTCTCATACCATGTATCTCCAGGTAATACACTGAAACATTTATTAGAGAGTATAAAAGAACATGAAATGCACAAAATAAGACAGATAAATATAATTGATGCCCAAATGTAGTGAAAATACTGTCATGCGCTACTCGGTGCCAAGGAGAATCTAGAGTTTAAGCATATGCCTAAATTGTAACTATGTTGGCACTTGGTCTATCTCCAGAGAGTGGTGTTTTCAAATAAGAAACGATAGGATGTAGCACAATCAAGAGGACCTCCGCTGATAATTGCAGAAGTTAGGCAGATCTATATTGGAGATATTCTTGGAGATGTTCTCTTATATATCCTGAACCCAAGTACTTCAGATATTTTAAATAATACCAACATCCTAAGTTTGGTCTGATGGCTACTTAATGCTATTGCAGCCGTTCTAACAGGGATATAATAAGACAGTAGCTTATATATTCATCTATTATACTAGTAAACAACTTTTCTCTGTAGAGAAAAGTTTACCTTTAAACAGTTTTCCTAAGATAAAATGTCTGCTTTATATCAGCAAGTATAAGGCCTACCTAAGCAAAGATTTAAATTGAGATTTAATATATCAAGATATGGTTATCAACATTTTTCCAGTTCTTTTATATTCAACACCAAATAACAATTTAAGGTCTTTTAAATATGTCATGAGACCTCTAAATGAAGCACAACTTGCAGAGGCTTCCGTGCCTTTTCTGCAAACAAAGGATAATATCTGAAATTGAGTCACATTATAGTAATACCTGTACTTATTAAATTATATTTTATTCTTTTTAAAATTCCTTTCAGATAAGGCTGATAGGTCAGGAGTTTAACCTAATCTAATCTGAAGTTTCCACTGAGATGGTAAGCCAAAAAAAGTTACAGTATTAATGTAAGAAATAAAATTTAAATTTAAAATAAAGAATCTTTGACGGGAGAAAAAAGTAAACAGTACATTTATTATACTTATAAGCAATCTTTTTTCTTATTCAATATTTTGCTGATAACATTGTAACTTTAAAAGCTAAACCTTAGGCAGATGCTAGAAAGTGTTATTTAATGTACAGCTAATGTAACTGTTTAGACTTGAAAAACAAATGGTATTTATTTTGCTAAAAACAGCATATTATGCACAATTCTGGTAAAAAGTAAAATGGCTTTCTCAAGGATAATTTGATAGTTTAAGAAGCCTATCATTGTTTCTTGAACAAAACGGAAGTAAAGCTGTAGATGTTCCAGAAATCCACCAACATGTCTCATTATTAAGAACAAAATATTCCGTAGGTAGAAGAAAGGGGGAAATTCTCGTGTGCTTTGTGCTAACTGTCTGACTTTTAAGTACCATTAATATGAAATGTTGTTACATTATTCATTTCCTGAGAACTCTTTTATTTAAAGAAACTGATATTTCATTTTAATAACTTACCTGGCAATCTGATTAACAAAAGGCCTCAGTTCTAAAGGGTCATAGGCACGAGCAAAAGCCCAGCATACATAACAAGCAGAATCCCGTACGTTGGAGCCAACACTGCAAGCTCCCCGCTTCTCATCGTAAGTCAGTCCTTTCAAAATCACAGGAACAACTGGAAATTTTAAAAGAAGGTACATGAAACATACACGAAACAGTTGTAGAACTTGATTCTGAGAAAATTCACAGTGGATTGAACTAGTTATCTTTTTACTAATTATTCAATTTATGGATGTAAGTCAAGTTTACAATATCCTAACAGATAAGACACTTTAAAGATACAATGGGGACTTCAGGATAGTGTATCTTTCGCACTGCAAGCTTTTCTATCCGCTGTTAATTAAAGAACAGGATGCCAATGGCCAGTAACCCTGATGGGTACAGATTATATATATCCTGCGTCACAAGCAGCATATTTTAGGTATACAGTAGCTGCTCTGGAATAACAGAACGCTTCATGACTTCTAGCTTTCTGAGTACAACTGGTTGACTACCGTGTGACTCAAATGCCGTCTCAAATGCCCTTTGGCATTAATCAACTGGGCTGCTTGTTTTTAGGCACCCCACAAATCTATATTGTCCCCAGTCCTCTACAGCAGAGTTTGAAGAAACAGAGAAACTGTACATTTCAGACAAATCCTTTTTGCAATTACATGTTATGCTGATAGAAACAGTTGAATTTCACCTAGTAAAACTAAAATTTAACAAAGAAGCAGACTTTGTTGTTGTTGTTGTTCTTTCTAAGCACAGTTGTTGACAACCTTTTTGGGCCACTGGGCACAAAGGAACTGAGTAAGCACACAGTGGATGAGATTAATTCCTCGTAGCCCAGGCTGCTCCAAGCAGCTTTGTCTTTCTATGATAGATCAGCATGCTTTCAAATAAAACTCTGAGTTGTAGCTATCTGTCTTTCTTATTTTCTAAGAATTGTGGTGGAGCCCATTACATAAATCGATACATAAAGTCCTGGTGAGCTGTTCTTAACAAACAAAGTAGTATGCAAAGTGTCCTGAGCTTGAAACTGCCCTAAATGTTTCAACTTCAGAACAAAACGCCTTGTGTCAATTTGATAAATAAATAAATGTTTTTAAATTCTGATGCCCACCAATTGGCTGATAGTTTTCTATTGTTTCCCACTGAAATCAGGGTTGGAAAGGTGTTATGTAAAAGGAATCAGGATTCTGTCCATCTGTCTGCCCACCAACAGAATGGGACCAAATACTGGACGGAAACCAGCAAAATAAATAAATAAAGTTTGAAGCTGCTTATGAGGAGAATTCTTTAAAAAACAGCCAATACAGCTACGGCAGAAACATCACTATAGCACAGCAGTTTGGAATGTTGGTGACTGCTCCGTTCTAAGCCCCTCCCTCTTCCCCCTGCTCCAGATCTGAGTGTACTGAGGCCATGCCATGCACACACAGACACAGAGACTCAACACAAGGAGTGAGTAGAAATACACACACACTCTGACTGAACACGTTATATTATTATTATTCAGAAGAAAGCAGACACCTTCTAAGGCCATCACTGGTAAAAGAATTGGAAAGAATTCAAGAACTTACACTCTGGTTGCTTTCCCTAACGTATTACCTTGTTTTGCCCCTTCAATCCATGGGATTTGAAGAATACATTAATCAGTACACCACAATCACAGGTTCCATCCCTACAACCACTCGCTGGTGTCAGTAGGTGCAGGAAAGGGTGTTGATGACAGAGTCAGTTAAGCACTTATTGCTGCCTATCTACTGGTGAGTTTAATACTATTCTGTAGTCTTTACAGCAGGTTAGAAGTTATGGGAAGTAATGTAATGTTGTTGTTCTTGTATGTTCCATATGTTTTGTTCTTTGTTATTCAGGGAAGCTGCCAAATGCAAAAGTGAATATTGTAAATAATCACTTTAGATAATGCTGCTATGCTGTTCAGCTTTCAGGAAGTTATATTGAAAAAAAATTCTATGTTGCTTTTGTTATTATTGACCTTTCTGCATAGGTTTCTAAATGTGAAAAGTGTATATCGTGCACGTGGATTAGGAAGAAGCCTCCAGCTGCCAGCCAGAGATACGTATTTTTGTTGTCACCATGTTGTTTATGAGTTGCATTGTACTGAATCTGTTGCTGCAATCATTTCTGTGACAGTGCAGGCAAGCTATAAAACTGCGTTAACTGCTGTTTTCACGATTAAGAGGACTTTAAAAAATAGTATTTTTAAAGCTCAATTTCTGACTAATTAACCAGCAGGTGAAATGGTCATCAACATTAACCATAGACTACCATTTCACCTGTTCTGGTGGCCCTAAGATGAAAAACGAGGACATAAGGGACTTACTAAGTTCATATTATTTCCTATGGTGGAACAATGACATTATTTTAAATTTTGTTCTCCTGGAACACAAAAAGCTTGAAGAGGATTCAACAGAATACTCTGAGTAGGAATGTTTTGTTCCAAGATCAGAAGACAACTTCTATTTGTTTCATGAGCACCCTTCCTAACAATAAGGATCTGAAGGCAAGCGCTTGAAGATTTACAAGCTTACAGTAACGAGTGACAAGATAGAATTTGATATAACCCTAAGTGTTTTTAACAAAGGCATTTTCATAAGTGAGAAGAGGTAAGGAGCTAATCACTGAATGCTATGTATCAGCATACACACTTCTAAAGGCTTATGCCAGGGTTCTTTGGAATTCTGTTACCATTTTGCATAACCACAACCAATATTTCAAATGATAGTTCAAGAAAATGGGGCCCCTCCGATAAAAGTAGTTGCACATTTGATGAGTCAAATGATTCTTTAACATAGCAATTAAAAATAAAGTGGGGAGGGGCATATTTTAGTTCCAAAACATAACCAGCAACAGATTAGTTTAGACACATTCTCCAAAATTTAAAACCTTTCTATTATACTATAAAAAAAAGTCTTAGCAATTCAATAACCACCCAGCAGCTTGTGATTTTTTTTTTTCAGTTGAACAAATTTTTGAATTAAATCTTTCACACAGTTCTAATGGTATGCTGCCAAAGTCTACCAACTGCACGGGTTTCCCTAAAAAGCTTCCTCTTGGCATCTGCCAGTCAGGTTATATAGTTTAAACACAATGCTTACTGAACTGTAATTTAATCAACTGCTATAGCCTACAGAAACAACAGCTTGAAAGGGAAAGAAGTCACTTAATTTTTGTATATTCCTCACTTGGTCATGATTTGCCATCCAAATCTCACTGAATGAGTGAATACAGGGTAAAGGTGGGGAAGGAAGAGATATATGCATTTCACACGTCACATGTTTAGTAATAAATACAGCCCTGAAAAGAGTTCCACTCTCCCTGTTTTCATTAGAGGTTCTATGGTTTAACAGTTAAAAGACTGAGGAAATACATTCTCTCAATTTCAGTACTTGAAATAAGGGAAATGAACTACTTTAAGATAATACATGCAAAGCATCTTAACAGTTAAAAGCATTTTATGAATTATTACTATTATTATTAATTTTTCTTTCTGCTATGATGGAATGGAGAACACAGAAAGTTCTCTTATCAAGCCCTAGCATTCTTGTGGTTCCCCTATTGTGTCTGTAGCAGTGTTTAGAATCCCTCGTAATACTCATCAACTTTCAAGTCTGAAATGAGAAATGTCTATTTCTCAGTTGGTGTGGACACGTAGTCTGTGATACTAATAGCACTATTTTAAAATGCTGAAATATTACAATATACTTAGAGAGGCGGCCGGGGCCTTGGACAGGATCGCACCTTTGCGACCTCTCTTGCCACGTCGGCCCCGACACTCCCCGTGGTTTATGGAGGAATTGAGGGTGCTGAAGAGGGTTAAGAGACATCTAGAGCGCCGCTGGAGGAAGACACGGACTGAATCCAACCGAACACATGTTAGAGCCGCTATTAAGGCCTACATTGTGGCAATAAGGGCGGCGAAGCGCCAATACTTCGCCCTTATTGCATCTGCAGAGTGCCACCCGGTGGTCCTGTTTGGCATCACCAGGTCCCTCCTGGGTAAGGGGGATGTGGTGGTGCAGTTGCAGGGCCGCACGGAGGAATTTGCAGAGCACCTGCAGGATAAAATCACTTGGATTCATTCCATGTTGGACTCCGAGTGTGGTGCAGGGTCTGGGGAGATACCGGGGGATCGTCCTTGCCCAGTTAGCTGGGAACGGTTTGATCCTGTTGTTCCTGAGGAAGTGGACAGGATCCTTCGGTCTGTGAGGGCCATCATCTGGACCCATGCCCCTCCTGGCTGGTGAAAGCAGCGCGGGAGGGGACATGTGGTTGGATCCAGGCAATGGTTAAGGCATCCTTGCAGGAGGGAGTGTTTCCAGCACCCTTCAAAGAGGCGTTGGTGCACCCCCTCCTCAAGAGGCCTTCCCTGGATCCCACTGTACTGGACAATTTTTGTCCAGTCTCCCACCTCCCCTTCTTGGGGAAGGTGGTTGAGAAAGTGGTGGCTTCGCAGCTGCAAGGGGTCCTGGAGGAAACGGATTATCCGGACCCTTATCAGTCAGGTTTCAGGCCCGGTTACGGGACGGAAACGGCATTAGTCGCACTTGTGGATGACCTCTAGTGGGAGCGGGATGGTGGAAGTGCGACCATCCTTGCTCTCCTTGATCTCTCAGCGGCGTTCAATACCGTCGACCACGGGATCCTATTGGGACGGCTCAGGG